CAATCAAAGTCTCTGACGGAACACAGCTGGGGTTCGGATGGGTAGTTTGCAGCTCCACCACCGGCTTTGAACAGAACCTGGTGCACTTCAGTCTCTGGCTTCTTTCTTTGATGTCCTCTAACAATACCACATTGCAAGGGAGCTCAAGGACTTTAGAAAAAGCAATGTATTTTATCTTTCTTAGTTCTCACAAAAAAATTTAGATTTAAATATCTTTTTTTGTTGTTGTTGCTGTTTTTTCGTGGGTTTTTTGTTTTGTTTTGTTTTTTTAATTAAGGGAACTAACCTGAATTTTGGATTTGGTGTGAGGCTATTCAGTAGCAGTAGTGACCATGAGCTAAACCGGAGACCATACAAGCAAGAAGCTGTTGTCTCAAAACCCTTCCTCTAATCCCTCATAGACATGTTTTGTATTCATTTGCAAGACAAACTGCAGCTCTGATCTGATCTGCACCAAGTTTTGACATTTTGCATAAGCAAGATGGACAGAAGTAGTCGATAGATACAAAAAGTTCTTGTTTCATACACAGACATCACAATCCACCAAAGCCTAATTAACAGAACATCTATTGTCAAAGTAATTTAGAGACCCAAGGTAGCAAGCTGCACCATAGAATAGTTTATGATGGAATACCTATAGATTATGAATTTGTCAGTTTTCAAAAAAGAGACATTATGCATTTTTCAAATAATATGAATGTATGAATAGATCAGCTGGGCTGAGTCAGATAAGCTGTCCTGAGGCAACAAATGCACCTTTGTTTCCTGAAATACTATCCACAAACCCAATTTCTGGATAAAGGCAAAGATGTTGAAAAGAGCCTCTTCCAAACAAGTGAGTTGTCAGATGGTTCAGTCAGTCCTCCCTTGAAACCTCACCCTTAGGTAAGTTAAAATGGACGGCAAAACACTGGCTTAAGAGAGTGATGATGCTTAGCTATGGCTTCTGACTGTCATCCTCCTGACAACTGCCATAGATGACTATGCCACCCTGAGGAGCAGATTGCTTTGCACCACTTGGATTTCTGCACACTAAGGGTGTAGTCCCATAATCTTTGATACCAGAAGAGTTCACACTACAAATCACGTACAGATCAGATATCTGGTTTCCATCAAATTCAGAACTTAGGCGATTGTTTAGGCAGCAAGAGGAAAAGGTAGCATAATAGAAACAGACATACACTATAAAGCCTTTGTAAAGGACTCCTTTTGTTGCTTAAAAAAATTGACTTGTGACCACATATCAGGAGAACGCTTTGCAGCATGTAGTCGTAACATTCTTCCTCCAGTGCTAGGTAACCCCAAACTATATTTAGCTTCCTCTATAACCATAATGTCAGCTGTAGATAAAGCAGACTGAAACAATCTGTAAAAGCTCACATCTGACTTTATGCACCAGTGGAACCCATGCATTACAGCAAAACTTAACAGGGACTATAAGAAAAAACACAGATCTGAATTATTCTAATACTCTACCATTTACTGAAAAACACTTTCAAAACCACCCGTCAATACATTTGCTTGACCTAGTCTCCAGAATTTCCTCCTCCTTAAAAACGCTGTAACTGCATGGTGGCTGCACTGAGAGTTGCTAATGCCACAGGAGGAGAGGTGGCTGATGAGATCATCACTTCAGCAACAGGACCATCTGACACAGCCTCGCCTTCACCAGCCACTTGTTCCTGGTCTTCTATTGCCTCCTACTGACACTGCTTTTCGTCCCGTACAGCTGTAAACCAATCCAGCTGAAAAAAATGGTGGAAATAGGAATATTTTCAGTGTATCTTAGCTAACTGGTCCCCCAACCCACTTGACTACACAGTGCAGAGGTGTCCGAGAGCACCGAGTTACCAGAAAAGCCCAGGAACTGCACCACCACATCTGCCACTAGTTATTTTGGGCATCTGAAATAATTCACTTTGAAAACCAAGTCCTGCATTATGGGTCAAAAAAGGGTAGACCTTGTCATCTTCTCAGGAAATTGCTGACAGTGTGCAGGACGTTTAGCAATTTGCTAATGCATTTTTAATACTGTATACACACACACACACACACACACACATCTTATACACAAACATTTCAGCAAAATGACAGTATTTAATTATTTCAGTGCTGGCTTTTATGCTTGTACTTCTAAAGTGTCTGCATTATTTCCCCTACATTTTGTACACAGCTCCTTGAAATACAGCTACTACAGCACTTTGCAGGTAGGTGGCAGAGTTACAGCGGTGGGAAGTTTCAACTAAGCAGTTTCATAATACCACAATTACAGAATTAAAAAACCCCAAAACAAACCACAACTCTGACAGTGCCATTTAAGTTCTACAATTAGATCTCCATCAGTTTGTTTAATCAACTGCAACCTTTTCTCAATCACAACCTAAAGAAATTTTTTACAAAGACTAATGAAATATGGTATTATTAGAATGCTGTTTAAAAGATCAATTACTGCTTTGAAGATCTAAGGGCTTTTAAAATATGTATTTCAGCCAAAATCAAGTACATTTAACTTTCTATTGTAAAGAAACATGAATTTCTATCAACTTAAACAGAAACGTGTTTTAGATTCAGCAGTATGAATCAAATGTTCAATGACAACTAAAAGTTTGATATTTTCATTTAAAAAACAGAGTTGCTCAAAGCAGATCTAAAGCAAATTACATATACAAACTTACAGCACCCATATATAGTATGTGTTCAAAACCCCAGAAGGTAGAACTTCCCTGCTGTATCCATGAGGTTACATCCATGCTGCACATTCAGCCAGGTTCCTGTTCTCTGTCTACAAGCAAGCTTTTAACCTGGATTACAGATCCCACCCAACCAGACTCTCAAAAATCTTTTGTGGCCCATTGAGAGCTTTGCCTCACCCAAGTGAGTTGTGACATTGTACACAATACACTGGTACTTGACTAAGAGCTACCTTCCCGTAAAGACTGGGGTTTATTCCTTCCTTATCCTCCGTTTCACCTCAAAATCAAACAGGATGTCTTAAAATATCTGTAGTTTAAGTGAACATTTGACTTTATCCTGGACACCATGAAGGAAATACCTCACACAGCCAGTATTATTTCAGGAAGGAAGCAACTGCTAAATAAAAGATCGGTGCGGCATCTATCGTCTCTCGAGATTCAAATTTTTAATCTGGTCACAAAAGCAAGAGATTAATAAATATGCACAACAAAGATGAGGGCTAGGTCATAAAAGCACAAATAATAGACTATATAGTTGTGAAAATCATATTCTCTTATGGCAGAAGGAGCAGAGGCAGAACTGAAACAGAGTGAGGAGAGGGTATGGCAAGTGCAGCAGGCTTGATGAATGAGGCAGAGTATGGCTGAGAACCTAAAGAATAAGCTGACTCTGAAGCTGGATCTTTAAACAGGAGTTAGTTTGCCAGTTTGGTTATCTCCACTCAGGACAATCAGCCTGCCTTCCCACTGGCAGCTGCTTGAAAGTTATCTGGTTTACAAACAAGCATGTTAAAAATAGCACTGTGCTTACTCTACAGAAAAAAACAAACAATTGTTTTTTCACATTTAAACCCAAGAAACTCCCCTCCACAATTACCCACAATACTTATTAAGCAAAATAAAGCCTACATCATTAAATTAGTAAAGAAATAAAACCTGACTGTTCATTCCATTCCATTCCTGGTTAAACACATCCATGAACACTTTCCTCTACATGAATCAATTTTAAAGTAGTCCTAATCTAAATGCTAATATTTAGACAAGTTTGATACCAAAATCTAAACCCATTTGTCTAATAAAACAAAAAAAACTGAGTGTAGCAGCTGTTTTTTACCAGGGCTATTACCAATTTAATGGAAATATTTTTCAAGTACAAAGATATTAATGGCATGTAATTTGGCAATATGTGATCTATACATCTTACCAAGTCTCATTAACTGTCAATGTATGTGAAAACAGAAGATGCGTTGGTATTTCCTCCAACACCTGTATAGTTCTTTACCTGAACAACAGAGTACCTTTCCCGTAACAGTAATAATAATAATAATAATAATAATAAACACTGTATTTTTCCAGAAAAACTAAATTTTCTCTCACGTTGGGTTCTTCTTATTTGATTTTAGCACACTACAGCCTACTGTAATTACTTTGAAAAGGTCTCCTTTCCTATGTCCAAGTTATCACAACAGACACGTATCACAATTTGTGGGCAATTACAGAATGTGGATCCCATCTTGGAGGAAGCTGGGCAAAGGTTATGCCCTGTATTGATGACTGCTACTTAAAAAGACTACACACTGCAGGACCAGTACTGTAACTATTTCCATCCTTGAAAGGAGAGACATTTATGTGAATGACATAAATGTGTTTTAAAAACACAAAGCTTTCAGGGCAACTAATTCTTCCATCTGTCATCACATGTTATTTCCAAGTAATACACACCCAACTGTAGCTGATCACATAAATGGCATTTGATAGGCAATCATGAAGGATTTTAACCTATGCACACATCATAATGCATGATAGATGAGTACCATTTTAAGAGGCATAAAAGGCTGCTGAAAGTACATATGGGAAAGAAGATTCTTGTTTATTTTACTAAACTTGGAAAAGATCTTAAAACAAAATTATTTTATTTCCATTTTGTGCATTTGCGTTCTCTAATTTTAATAATAAAAAAATCAGTCTTACTTTCAATTATTTATGTCCTACAATATTTCTGTTGCAAACAGCAGTGAAATATTTTTTGTTCTCTTTGTGAATTAAAGTCAGACTGGTACTCTTTTTACTTGCAGAAGTTTCATGAAGGCTTGTTGTTGACTCCAGCACATAAAATTCTTGAAGTTACATGTGCAAAGTCCATTGTCGCTAATTATCAGATGTTAAAAGCAACACGAATCAGAGCAACAAAAGTAATTTTACAGAAGGATTTAAAGGATACAGCAAGCTTACAGAATCCTTTGGTTATGTTTACTAAAAGAGAAGTTACACCGACAAAGACCACCGTACAAAAAACATTTGGTTTAATTATTTTCAGGATTTCCTTTAGTGTTTTCGGTGTTCACAATATAAAAGATGAAGACCCTCCCCCCTTAAGAAAATAGATATTGACAGACAATTAGTCTACTCAAAGGCACTCATCTTGCTTTTTAAGTACAGGAGACACCAAGCTGATACTTGTTTCATCATTTGCTGGCCTAAGAGTCTCTTCACATTCCATTTGACACAATAAATTATACTCAGTGACCAAGCACAAAATATGTGGGAAATTTATTAAGTAAAATATTCATGATCTTACAAAACTGATTTTACCAGACAAGGCCTTTGGCCAATTTTGATTTTTTTTTCCCTTTTACACGTTGTGCCTTAAGCTTCTTTCTTTGCCTGGAATTCATCCATATCGGGTACTGCCCATGCTGGTCTAGAAGAGTTTTTTTGTTCCGTTTATTATCCAGGTCCATTTTGCAGTCATCTAAAAATGAAAGGTATTTATAGTGAGTAAAATATGAATCAGCTTCATAGATGCTCTTTTGTTATTAGATTCCCCAAAATATCCCCTAGACATAACAGTATTTGTACATAGAAAGCTGAAGGGTTTATATACAGAAATCACTTTCCAAACCAATACAACTGCAACCCAGGGACTTCAACAGTTGATAGTGAATGTGCAGAATTTTCCCTAAAGGTCCTTCCGGGCAAAGCACCTTATTCTTTAGTCTGCTGTCTGTTCCAATACTGTGTTTAAAAATATTGTGCGTGGTCTCCACCACAGAGACACGCAACCATATAGGAAGCCATAGGCTTACTGAAACATATGCACAATCACATACCTTTTATGATGTAATGTTTAGGATCTGTTCTAAAAAAATAAATTAATCTGAGTGGAAGACGAAGACAGGTACAGAGAACAATAAAGAAAGAGAAAAGCTGAAATACAATGACAGAACAAAGAATGAGACAGGGATGGCACCACGTGCCTCAGGGAGCAAGTATGACACCAAGTCTAACACATTTACAGACAGAAAAAGGCTTAATCTCTAGGATCAGGAAGACTGCCCATGACCTGCTCACTCTCAAAAACAGCATCCCTAGCTAGCTAACACCCCACGAACATCGTGTCTTGGGGAAACAACAAGGCTCCAAGAGGAACATCTTGCTAAGTACTGGTTGGAACTGTGCTCTGTAATTTTATTTCAACCTTGTTTCCAAGCCACCCATATGCAACTCAAAGTTTTATCACATTGTGCCTGTTAGGAGATAAAGCTCATGAGGAAAAGGCCAATGTGCTGCTTCTACGGTTGTAGCATCGCTGATAGTCTACACCATAAGAATCTGCACCACAGATGTGCTTAGGGAGCCCTAAGATGGGATATAAATACTTGTAGTCAACAGAGAATCAGCCCAGGGCCCTACTGCTTAGTACCTGATGGCAGAATCAAAGGCTGATCCAGCATGGGACAGGCAGCAAAAACGTTCTAGCTCCAGAAACCTCACAAGGTATCAGAGAAACATGAGGCCTTCACAATGTGTTTTTCCAAATGACAGAGGAGATACAGCCTCCAATAATACAACAAAAACCCAGCAGCATGTACATAAGATGCTTCTCCAATTCCTGTCCTATCACATGCCAGGTTAATCTGTTATACAGATTAAAAGCAAATCCACAGTAATGTCTGCTGCAACATAAACTAAATGAATACTCATGGACAAAAAATACCAGTTGTTCACACAGCACAATGTTTTCATTGTATTTTGCAACCTCAGGGATGCTGTAGGAATCAATAACAGAAAGAAACCCACTGAGCAGAAGTTGTCCAGGGACATAGAGAAAATCTATCAAGAGGGTTAAAGACAGAGAGAAGGACCAAGAAAAAACACTATAAAGGTTAGTTATTGAAGCAGACTCAATAGATACGACTATCTTGAAAACTACGTACATCCCCACAAAGTTTAAACTACAGCTACAAAACCACTATTGACCAAAGGCTAACCAGACCTTCCATTATTTATTTTCTAACAACAAAAACCGGGAAAAAAAAATCACAGTGTGCTGTGAATAATTCCTTAGACTAACACAGTAAAATATCTATAATATATACTTATATACTTCCTTGGGCTGGAAAACTATTTACCTGTCTGTGGAAAGTACATATTCTAGATAAAGTTTTTATATACTTCAATCCTTGTAACACTTGGTGATGCAAACTCCCTCGTGCCCACACTTAGTGCTGAAAAGTCCTCTCAAAGAAGACACCATTATTTTCACAAAACTTGTAGTTGCTTGTGAAAGACATATATTCTTAGGTATTTCTGAGGCTGTTACCTCTCTGGAAAAGCCAAGTGACAATGGCCACTTGTAGAGAAGTTGACAGCAGAGTTGGAAGGAGATGCAGGAATGACAGACAGCCATGCATTTGCTTCAGAAAGAAGGTTTAAGGCAATGATTTTTCTTACAGATTCACCATTAGAAGGCTGACAACGTTTAAAAAACAACTTTTACCTGGTTTATAGGACAAATCAGAACCATAGATAAAAATTCAAATTAAACTATCCTTAACTGGGAAGGTGTTTGTATACAGCATTCTCTTTCCATTTTCAACATCAGAACATCTTAAGTGCCAGAAACTGGAGAAGAGAAAAGGACTATTATTTAGTTTGGACTTCAGTTTTGGGAAAAGAAAGTGTCTTTATGACTCCTGTTCAGTATGCAGGTATTTAAAACATTTGTTTCCACTTCCTGGGTAATTGCCCACTTTCTTTATAGCTTGCTTCCTATTTAAGGCACAAAGAGGAAAATGGCATTATCCGTAGACACCTAATACCACCCATTCGTGCACCACGTGCACTGCAGCATTAATTAGTAAACCGAAACTGGCTCCCTACTTCCCCTACCTTGAGACGGTACATTTAAACTGCAAAACACCACTATATTCTTGGTAAAAAATTCTATAAAATTACCTTAGATTTAGTTTGTATGTGTCGTGTCCTTCTTAAGTTAGGACAGAAATTATATCCTACCTCTTGTTTAGCAGCAAATATAATGCTGTGACTGGAACAACTGCTAAGCGATGAACCTTCGCTCACCTGATGTTTTCAGAGAGATGTCTCTCTATAAGGTACTACACGGTACATCTCCATAAAATACATTACGTATTTTATATACTTAAAATCAGATGTTAATAACCTTGTTCCACAAGCGACCGGACACAATATGGATGTCAACGTTGCGAAATGACCAGATTCGGTGCTTTAACAGCATCTTTTAGCTTTAAAAGATAAGTTTTCCAACCCACTGTCCTCAGCCTGGAATACTCAACGCCTGAAGTCCCAGGAACAGCAACAACGCTGCAGGACGTCCCTGAACCCGGGTGACTCCAGGGAAAACCACCCAGAGCCCAACTCACCCCTCTGCTCCAGGACTTTCTCGGGGGGCAGCACGGTCGCCACCTCCTTGACCTCCTCCATGACAACGTCCGCGTTGGCTCCCAGGATCTTCTTCAGCCTCTCCAGCTCCTTGGGCGCGTTCTTCTTCCTCTTCTCCGCCCTCATCTTCCTCCTCCATTTGCTCCTGAGGCTCTTGGCCATGGCCTGCGGGGGAAGGAAGCGAGTGCTGTGAGCGCGTGGGGCCGGGGGGGATGGGGGGGTGGGGGGGGGCGCGGTCACTGCGCGCACACGCGGCCTCCCCCACTCACCCGCCAGGCACGAGGCCGCCGCCAGCCACCGCGCAAGGCCGCACAGCCCGCGCGCGCATGCGCAGGATGACGCGCAAGCCCCGCCCCTGGGCGCGGCCCCGATCGCACGCCGGCCGGGGCTGGCGGGCCCTACCGTAAATCTCCGAGCAAGCGCGCAGCACCCCCATCGCGGGATCGCGTCCAACCACCGCGGCGTGTCGAGGGCGGGGGGATGGATGAACAAATAAACACCTGCTTCGTGGCAGGGGAAAAAAGCGAGGGTTTATTCTTCGCTACTGCCACGCATTTCTAAATGAGGCAGAAAGAGAGAGAGCATCACAGTCGCTAAAACCAATCCGCAGTTGCACTCCAATAACGTCAGTCCAGTTCCAGCACGGAAAACACACCTCGGCACAGCTTGTGGCAGGACATGGATGATTTCCCACTTACTGCGTTGCCTCGTCACTAAGACTCACTGACAGGCCAGGTGAGCAGTAACAACACTGCATAGGAAGTGAGAAAGCCTTTCAAAATTGGTTTTACCCTGACTGCCCTTCCAGGATATCCAGAGTTTGGGAAGCAGCGACAGTCACGGCACCTCTCCCCGGCCAGAAAGGGTCTGCAAAGTTCATTCTCGGTACCCTGAAGTTCTCCAGTCTTGGCTGCAAGAACAGACTAAAGGTTTTTCGATTTTTATTGACACAATTAACACACAGAAGTTGATAAAATCCCAGAATCTATCTCCAAATTATTTTTCAGGATACTGAAAGATAGGCCATAAATAATACTGAAAGGAAGAACATTCCCTTTACTGGTTTTAACACCGTCACAGCTTCCATAGTGACAGCCCTTAACAAGAACAGACTATCTGTCAGAGACAGATAACAAAAATTAAACAAAACAAATAACAATAATCAACAACTAGAAAAAATTTAGCTTAGTAAAATTTAGTAGCACAATGGTAAACTCAGGCTATCCTTATGTGATATACACAATTATGATCAATCCCAAAGGAAACATTACCAGCAGCTACAGAACAGCAGAGAAGCATACTCTGGAGCAATAAGAAGTTGACAAACTTTTTCATCATTATGTCAAGTGCAAATTAAGTGATTGAAAAAGTGACTGTAATGATGACAGCATGTTAACTGCATAAAATACATGGTCTAGAGAAGAACTGTAGCTACATAAAAAGCCTTTTGTGTCCCCTAAGGAGGGATCAATATTCATGGAATGAAAAAATAATACAGATACAGTGTATAAAGACAGAACTATTGAGTTTGCAGATCATCCAAATTGCTCTATAGTCAAACCACGCCACTTTTGGCTATTTTTTATTAAATGTTTCCAGTAAACGCAGCATGTGTAAGAACAGATTGATGATGTCCAAGTAGAGATTGATTGCAGCCAGTATGTACTCTTCGGGGGACAATTTGTGCATCAGCAAATGAGTGTCATAAATAATAAATCCACAGAACAGAAGAGCTCCAGCAGCAGCAAACACCAACTCTATTGTCTCACTATAGAAAAACAGCTGGAGGCAGATAAAATATGAAAAAAATATTTGTAAATTTCATTTTCTTTTTAATATTAAAACTATGCATAACGATATGCCACACTTAAAACACAGTCTTTCTACTGTTATGTACACACAAACACGGTATTACGATGGCATTTCAATGTCCTTATTCCCCAGTCACTGTCTCTTTAACTGAGTAAAAGTGCCTCCACATTTAAGAGGGAGGAAACTCTGGTTTCCAGAGTATTAACAACAATTAGAAAAACAAAAGACAGTTAAAACCCAAATGATCTCCTTCCCATTCTCTCAGTCAAGTAGTGGGTCTCAATTGACAATTTTTGTCAATCAACACAGAGACCCCTTTAACTTTGGCAAGAACAGCACCCAAAAAAATCCAAATTGCAAATGAGTGGTTAAAAGACCATCAGTGCAATCTAGAATGGTCATGGATCTGCTTAGGAATTTTAAGTTACACTGAGCTGTCCAACCCTTTTTGCACTACTAGAAGTTAGTAAGAGCTCAGGCTCTGAGCAACCTGGTCTAGTGGAAGGTGTCCCTGCCCATGGCAGGGGTGGTTGTAACAAGATGATCTTTAAGGTCCCTTCCAACCCAAATCATTCTGTGATTCTGTGAATATCTTGTAACCATGAACACAAGGTATCTTACCCTCAAGAAACCTGAGAAGATTAAAATCCACAAACAAGCGAAGAGGCTGAAAAAAAACATTATAAACTGTCAGCAACAATATACTGTCCTTTAAATTTAAAATATCCTCCTTTCTTACAAAACCTCTTCTTAGATGCTAACTTTCATTGGTGTCAGAAGTAAGTTTTATAAAGTTGTCAAAAGTTACATTTTAACTTTAATTTTTTTTTTATATATTTGAAACAGCTGCTTTCTGTCTCAGTGAAAACTCCAGGTAAACTAGTTTTCTAGTGGTTTAAGAATCATAATCACAGAAAAGAATTTACCAGAAAAGCAGAACTGTGTAAAATTAATAATTTAGGAAATAAAACCACTCCCCTGAAGCAGGTTCTATTGACCTGTATTCCTTGTAATAGCTGCAAAGCTTGCTTTAAGAAAGAAAAAACAGTCTTAACAAAAATTAGTTTTCTAAAAATCAACAATATGGGAACATACCCTGCTCCAAACTTGCTGAAGTCTCTCTTTGATTGCAAGGTATATGCAGTCAACCCAAGAAAGACAGCAGTAGTAAGAATAAAGGCTTGCAAGACGATGGAGACATCGTAGAAACTAACTATAAACAGAAAAAGTAATATGTCAATTAAAGAACACTGCACCACATATTTGCTACATTATCTTTTGAGGAAACAGAAGTTTAAACTTTCACAGACAGGAAAAAAAAATCTTAACTGTGAACAAAAAAAAGTAAATTATAGCTGAACTCGTCTTTGCACTACAAATTCATGACCATAGGATTCAGGGGCCTTGCTCCAAGTTTGACAGTTACTTTACAGCTGTAGCTTCTTATACGGAAATAACAGGTTTTCCCTACTCACACTTAAAAAAAACACCGCCAAAACAAAACAATAATATTTTAAGCATAGGTGAGATCTTAAGGGAAAAGCTATCTGAATTTTTCATGATACTCAAGTAAGGGGAAAAAACCAAAATTCTCTCTATAGTACAAAGTGATGCCATGATTTGTCCACACACCACCCCATTTCACAACCCTGACCATGAAGTACAGAACTCTCCAAACTCAAATTCCCTTTGAGGGGAAAGATAGGGATATCTCAACTTTAAGATCAGCTCTGCTAAACGCTGCCTTGTAGGAAAGAACATTGATAACTATACTTGAGGAATGGATGGCACAACTCATTTCTCACTTCAGGCTTGTACAGTTTCAGTTCTTGATCAGAATCCAGTTTTCTCCCTTGATTCCATGTTTTTTTGCTAAACTCATATCACTGTAATTAAAATTTTCAAACAGGATTCCTGATCATTTTAGTCACAACTAAAAAACTCTAATGGCAATTCATACAACAGATTGTATTCCTTTTCCAAATTCTTTATGGAATCAGACAATAGGATGGCAACCATTTACCTGTAATGGCAACTGTCAGTGCTTCCAGCAGCGTCTACAAAAAGGAAAATCAAAAAATTACATGGATTAAAAAAACCAGACAACAAAACACATGGAGACTTCACATGCAATGAGTCCCACTCTGCTACAAAATCCCAGCACATGTTACATTAGGTCTCCTATTAAATCTTTGTATATGAAAACGTGTTTAGTTTTCAACAAGAAAATGGCAATCGCACTGCCTTACTGTGTGGAACTTGTGTTACATAAAAAGTAACTTCTGTTATTTGTTTACATACAAACTGAAAATGAGTGAGAGACTGCCCCTAAGAAAAATGCCATTTACATTTTCTACTCAAAGCACACAGCATTCTTATTACATTTCTTACAAATTATTCAAGAAGCTATAAAATTAATACATTCTTAATATCTTGTTAGACAGCTATCTAACACTAACGTAAAGTGTCTGCATCAGATTCTTTTCCCCACTCATCCTTGTTTGGAAACAGCTAATTTTAAAACACATTCTGAATGCCTGGGATGAAGGCTAGTACAGACCCCGAGTTTTTCTAAATGGTAATTTCAAATTGAGTTTCAACACAATAGAACATGAGAAAACTCTCTTATGTCATGAACCGAGGGGTCAGAAATTTAACATTTAACCCATATTTTGTTTAAACCAATTTATCACACAGAGATTTGAATTCTTCCATTCCTATATAATGTAATACTCAAACTGTTATTTTACAGTCTCCCACACCACATTTGGCCAAACTGTTACATCACTTCTTGTTACAGCTTCACTTGTTAAAAGTTTTTAAACATTTTATTCACCTGCAAGAGTTCAGAAGTCAGGAAGAATATAACTGTGTCACCATTTAAGCAATCCATTACTTATACAGCAAAGCTGTCTTTCTGTTTTATCACAAATACAAATTTAGGAAATTTCTAAAGCATCAAATTCTAATTGAGCTGCTGTGACTCTTCAAAAGATTGATTTCTACATTATCCAAAATATCCAAGGGCAGTCATTAGCCTATACCTAAAAACTCACAACTTCAGGTAGGAGACTGAAATTTAAGGACAGCTCGGACTCACCAGCCTGTGCTGGAAACATGCTCAGAATGTACCATCAAAAAGACAACAACTGAAGAAATAAACACATAAGGCTGCTTTGGGCCTCTCTGCAGGAGGCCATCCATTAAGCAAATAAGGTAACAGGAATGCCTCCTCGTTTTCTAGTGAGCAATTTCATAGCAAAATGCCTGATTATCAACAGAGCAACAAGAGCAGATAGACAAATTTCTACACACACAGAGAACCCTGACCTAGAGGCTATCCAGGAACAAGCTGTGGACAAAATCAGACCTTCATAAGCACATCAGATATCTTTCAAGGAAGACAAGAAAAACAAATTACCTACCACTAGTTTCAAGGAGTTCATCAGGATGCAAAATATTCTAGAGACTATTAAAATTGAATTTATAAATACTTACAA